AAAGCCCTTTGCATTGCTTCCTCAAAGCACGTCTGCTGTCTGTGGTTTGGCAGAGCTCACGGACAGCCCTTTCATGTACCCACGCTGGCAAGTGCTCGCCTACAGCTACAACATGTCGGGTGGAGACTAGGGATGTTAAATATCGGTTAATTGAATAGTCGAGTAACCTCATGAATTCTTATCGGTTAGTCGACTATTCTGTAGTCCCGGCGAGTCAGGCCGGCAGCCAGTGCGCTCCAGCCCCACTCCCAAGGAGCCCCTACCACTCCACACTGCTGCCCCTGTATCCGAGGAAGCAGCATGGGGTGCCAAACAGGAGCTGGTTCGCAAGGAGAGCCAGTTTAAAAACCAGCTCCCCTTGCAACCAGCTGCCTGTCACTCTGCGCTGTTGCCTCTGAAAGAGGTAGCAGTGTGGGGTGACAGCAACCCCCGTGCAGGGGCAGGTCTGAGCTCCTGGACTCGGCGTGAGCTGGAATTGAGCCGGGCTGCCTGCCCGCCTGGCTCCTAATACACTTGATATGCAGAGCCACAGCGCAGGTAGGCCTCAGACCCAGCGCAAGCTGGGATTGAGCTGTGCTGCTGGCCAGCCTGCTAAAAAATGTGCTGGCAAAGGGGGGGGGGGGGGGAATGCATGTAGTCTACAGCATTAACCTATATGCTTTTGCTTATTGATTAATTGACTATCCTATTATCCTTCTGGGGGGAGGGATAGCTCATTGGCCTGCTAAATCCAGGGTTGCGAGCTCAATCCTTGAGAGTGGCCATTTAGGGATTTGAGGCAAATCTGCCTCTCGGCAGGGCCGTGAGGGCAGGTGACTGGACTCAATGACCTCTCGAGGTCCCTTCCAGCTCTATGAGATAGGCAGGGCTTGACAAACTATAGAATCTACTCACCCGTGGCGAGTAGATTTCAGCTGCGCGCCCTGTTCACCAGCGGCGTGTGCATGCACGATGCGGGTCTTGCGCACGCGCAGTGCAGGGCTGGCGAGCAGTTCTCACTGCCGTTTGTCAAGCCCTGGAGGTAGGTATATCTCTATAAAATATTACATCCCTAGTGGAGACTAGGAACTCATGCCAGGCAGGTACTGATGGTGACATCTCCAGAAACCATGGGAGGGGGAAATTAACACTAGCTTAACAGATAGGCATGGAGGAGCCTTAGCATAGCTAAGGGGGGGGCCAACAACAAAGTAGCAAGGGTGTGTGGGTTTGAATTAAGTGTAGTGGGCATCCCTTAATGACAGCATCCTGTTACTCTAGTCAGACTAGAACTGCCGAAGGACCCAGGAATGGGATGCTAGGCCATGCTGCCAGGCCTGGATTTAGATGGATGAACTGAGCTGTAGGGATACTGCAGGTCAGACTCTGGGTGCAGCAAAAAGGTGGCTGGGCCTGGACTAACAGCACGTGATATAGGTCAGGTGGGAGGTAGAGGGGCAGAGCTATCTTCTGAACCCCTCTCAAGGTTTAGAGGTGTTCAGGGCTGGGGGCTAGGTTTGGGGCCACGTCTGGTTGTTACAGCGTGGGGAGCTCACCCTGTGCAGGGTCTGATCTCGTGCCCTAGTTTGGGGCCAGGAGAAGGAGGAAAACCTCACCACAGCGAATACCAAAACGGCCTCCCCCGCAACCACACTTGAGCCAGCGTGAAGTCAGAGCATGAGGGGACTGTGCTCACCCAGAGCTCCTTCCCACAGACCTCAGCATCCACTGCGCTGTGCCACATGGCTCCCCACCCCCTACGCCACAACCATGGCTGCTCCCTACACTCAACTGCCGCTTGGTTCCTTCCAACAAAACCCCGGCACGGCCAAGCTGGCCTGGGTCCTGCTGGCATCCTCAGGATTTACCGGCAGAAGCACAGAACTGAAGTGTCAGGTTCAAAAGCTGGGATCGGGAGAGAAAGAACCGTGCCAGGAGTAGGACATTCCGCCTGTCTCTCTTAGGTACTTGGATACGCCCCCAGGAGCATAGCGTCCAATTGCCTCGTGCGTTCAGCCTCAACTCTTTCACGAGGGCGTCGGAGGGGTCCCAGGACTTTCTCCTCTTCGCATCACTGGCCGCAGCAGGAAGCAACTGCCAGGATCAAGAGCTGCTGCAGAGGCATCCCCAGGCATGTGTGCATGGTGGCATCTGCATCGCTGGCAGCACCGGAGACTGCTTTGAGCCACGCACCAAGCTGCAGCAGCAACCAAGGTTGGAGAATTGCCATAGCATGAGAGGCCGCTCTGACCCACCAGAAGAGCCGGTCACTTAGTCAGCCCCCTGCCAGCGGAAGGAAAGACCAGCCCGACTGACTGCCATTGCTATCCCACGAGCTCTCCCATCTCCAAAATCCCATATGACAAGAGCTGGCAAACCAACCCTGAAGAGGACAGGAGCCCCCCCCCCCCCAGGACAGGCACCCCCCCCCCCCCAGGATCTGCAGCTGGCCTGTGAGAGTCCCAGGAGACACTCTTCTGGCGCACTGAGAGTCCCCCCATACCCTTTTCTATAGCCCAGCTTCAGATGTGGCTCAAAATCAAACAATGTTACGGACAGCAGAGCCAAAGTTGGATGCACAACTCCCTCTGCTGGCTCTTCCATGTATTGCTGGATGCTACTTACTAGGAGTACGTCCCATCAAGCCACCACTTGTGGGTCCAGCCGCCATCCCTCTGTGGGATGGGTGGGGCTAGGAGACCACTTGCAAACATATGGTAAGAATGGGAGTCCACAGAACTTTCTCCTCCCACCATCTGACACCCACCAGACCCGGATTTCGCCCTGGGCTCTGTGTTGCGAAAGGATTTGGGGCAGTGCAACGTTGCAGGCTCCAAGACAAGGGAGGGGGGTGTACTGGAGCAAACCCAGCCCTGTCATGCAACCACGGTGAGCCCAGCTGGAAGGGTTCCCACCACTGAACAAAATCTGCCCCCACTGCAAAGGCAGGGGTGGGAATTTGAGCCCAGGAGTGCAGCATAATGTGGGGAAAAAGAAATTCTTTTGAACCCCTAGGTGTCTAGTCAGGGTTAATGGAAAACACTGGCCTGAAACCTGCTCTGAGCGCCACATGGGGTCTGGGAGTCCCAGGTGCACAGAGCAAAGGCAAACCAAGCACCAGTACAGCTCCAGCTGAAATAAGTGGAGTAAAACCCATCCCGGTGCAAAAAGCCAGAGCACGTCTATGCAAACGCCAATCCCACTTAAGGCACCAAAATAAGCCTGTGATAGTGCCCAGACCCTGTGCCTGGAAAGCTGAAGCCAGCGTCAGTGAGGGCATGTCTACACAGCAGCGTTCCGAAATAACATAGTGAGCGTTTACACTACAAGCCATTATTTCGACATATTGTCGAGCTGGAGGACTTCTTATTCCGACTCCTATAACCCTCATTTCATGGGAAGTCGAAGGAAAATCATTCTTCCTTCGACTTCTGTGGCGTAGACAGCGCCAAAAGCCGACTGACGCTATTTCGTCTTCAGCTGTGCAATTGACATTGCTGAAGTTGCATCGCTTAATTCAACTTTAGCACTGCAGTGCAGGCGTACCCTGAGTTTTTGCCTGGACTTTGGCTCAGACCCTGGGTGACTTCCACCCCGCACTGTGCTCAGCCCCTCTGGAAAAACCATGAAGCCCTGAGGATGACATCGTGAGAATCCCCAGCAGCTGGCCTGGAGTAACATGCCACTTTGCCACTCTACCACACACACACACAAGGAGGAGGAAGGCTGCATGATGTATTAAGTGTCTTTAATCTGAAAGAGGGAAAAGCAGACCAGAAGGATTAGTATAAGCCAACAGACACAAAAAAATAAAAATTAAAAACTTGTCTTTAAAACAAATTCAAATTCCATACAGTGCTTAAAATGTCACCTAAAATCTAAACATTTCCATAAAAAAATGGTTTTGTTTTGGTGTTTGAACACATTACAATGCAGTGAAACAATGTGACAAAGAGGGAAGGAAAAATCAGACTAAAGACTTGAGGGTAGCTATTCAGCTCCCAGGAGTAGAGGCTAGTTGCAAACACCAACCACTGGGAGCGGAGAAGCAGGAAGGGGACCACAGATGAAGTCCGGAGCTGCCTCCCCCTTTGGTAGCACGTGGGCATCCAGAAAGATGGGATTAAGAGGAGCGGTCCCCACGAGCCAGGAGTTTTGGGGAGTGGGGAAGGAAGGCAAAGGGAGGGGGAGAGGGGATCAGTGCTCATATCCCAGCTGAAGCTTTGAACAAGACTAAAATCCGGCTGATCTTTTAGGTACACCCCCAATTTCTCCCATCCGTGCTTGAGTCAACTGGTTTTCTGGGGGTTGGAGAGAGACCTTGATTGGTTTCTTCCCATAGTGGCTTCTTGCCACAAGTAACAAACAGCCAGGGAGCTTACAGACATGCTACAGCACTGCAGGAGCTGAAAATCCACAGCAGTCACCATCCAGATGGCTCAGAAGAAGAGAACTGGATTGCCCCATTTGACTCCTGCTTCCCCGATGCGGGGAAAGTGTCTTTCCCACATCCGAGTGGGGCAGGAAGAGAGTAGCTGAGGCCCCCTGAGGAGAGGGGAGCTTGCAGAAGGGCTCGGCCATGTCTGTTTTAACCTCCACTGCACGTTTTGAAGAGGGGTCTCTTCGCAACCTGCCACTTCTCAGCAGCACCAGTGTCGACACTAACCGCAGGGGACAGTAATGGTAACGGGACAAGAGGGCATCTGCTTTAGGTGCTTCTGGTCTAATCCCATGACGGCTGGGGCGGCTGTAGTGGATTTGTTAGCGGCAACGTCCCCGTCCCCCCCAACCCGCCTCCCCTCTCCCCCACTCCCCAACACCCCTGAGATTAGAACTGTATTCCAGGCACGTTACACACCCCACATCGTCATTCAGAAAGGACACCCCAGCGTGTGCATGGTACCCACAGACAAACTACACCCCCCAGACATACACACGCATGCAACACGGACACCCCCAAAGGGAGTAACCCAGTGCCTGCACCAATAGAGCCAAGGCCTCCTGCTGGGTGGGGACTTGAAGACCCCTTAAGCCACCAGCCCGTGAAGGGAAATTATTAAAAATAGGAGGGCTGAAGGGATTAGAAGCTACAGAGCATATTCCCAAACCCAAGCCCCTTTGCATCAGCCTGCATTTACCAGACGCTCACCTGAAGAGCCCAACCCATCAGCACTAGGCCCAAAAGCCAGAAGCCTTCATCCCTAGCCAGCGCTTTGCACTGGGAGCACACTGTCTGGGCTTGCAATAGTTTAAAAAAAAAAATGTATATATTATATACCCTAAAAAGGTTGCCACAGGAATTTCCATGTCTTTGTAAGGAAGAAGTGGCGGGGGGGAATATTGAACCAAAGGAAAAAAAATCCAAATTATCAGAGCTGTTCAACTCTCAAACCAAAACCAAAAATGTGTGCATCTCGCAGGGGGGCATCTCCCCAACCTGCTCCAAAAAGGCCAGGTACACGGGAGAGGAGCTAAAAAACAACACGTCTGGTATACATGTTGGAATCCCATACGTGAGAGGAAGTCCGTCTTTGTCCTTTTCTTTAAATATATATCTATATATCTATAGATATATATATAGATATATATTTTATATAAAATGTACTTTTGCTTTCTTGGCGGCCAGGAAGGGCTTGGCACGAGCCCTCAGTGGGGGAGTGCTGTCGGCTCTGAGGGGTTCGCTTTCTTTCGTCTCTTCATGAGCAAAGGGTTGGAGGAGTCTTCAATTTTCTTTATCTTGATTTGCTCATAATCTACTCTCATGGTAGCCAAGGCACTCGTCATCTCCTCCTAGAAACACCAAGGAAAACATAAGGCCTGGTTAGTGATGGGGCCATTCAACACTGGTGGTAAAAACCATGTGCTTGGGCCCACACACATGCACCCATGTCTATTGTCCATACCCATCCACACATGTATCCCTGACTAGGGCATGCTTAGATCCTATGGCCGGACAATGCTGGACAACACCATTATGATCATTTAACCTCCTGCGTAACACAAGCCAGAGTCATTCAGCCAATAGTTCTACCAACAAGTTTACTTCTGTGTGGTTGAACACACACACCCTTCCCCCCTCATTTCACAACCAATATCCAAGCCTGAGCATAAGTCTAGTGATCAAGACTCCACCTCATTTGTTGGGAAGCTGCTCTAACAGTTCATTACCATCACCGTTACAAATCTGTGGTTTGTTTCCTGTTCAAATTGTTGTAGCTTCTAAGGTCCAGCTCTTGTCAATGGTCCCCAACCTTTTTGGGTGGCAGGCGCCATGCAGGGCTGCCGGACCGCCCAGGGGCAGAGATCGCACATGCGCAGTGCACCCGGGGGTGGTCCTAGGCGGGCGCATATAAATGCCCCAGCAGGAGCCATGGGAACCACTGATCTAGGTCTTGTTCCTTGGACCAAGCCCCGTGACTAACTCTATCTGCATATCTACTCACGTAGACCTAACCACATCAGCAGGGGCTGATCCACCTGCATACCTAATCATACCATACATGCCATCATGTGCCAATGTAACCACCACCAGGCAGATCTGAACCTGGGACCTCTGTAGTTTGGTGTAGGAGCCTCTACCCTCTGAGCTAAAAGCCAGCTAGCTCCCAACCCATGCTGTAGAGGTCTCTTGATCTTCGCTGTTGCTGTGGTCTACGTGCCACTAAATGGGACAGTGAACCACACTGGGTGTGTGGGTTACACCAGCAATACCCCTCTGTCTAGTTTGGTCAAGCTACACGGCAGTCTCCACCCCAAAGAATAAATGGACACAAATCAAGAATGGTAACACTTAAAAACCAGTATCAGAGGGGTAGCCGTGTTAGTCTGAATCTGCAACTCAAAAACCAGTAGGAGAGCACTTCAGTCTCCCTGGACACACTGTAACACATTGAAAGTTGCCATGTTTCCACCAGAAAACTTCAAAACCAGATGGCAGCGTGAAACTGCAGAGTTTAGAGCCCACATGCCAACTTGACACTATCAGCTGGGGTCTCAATAGAGACTGGGAGTAGCTAGCTCACTACAAAAAGTATTTCTCCCTCTTTTGGTATTCACACCTTCTCATCAACTGTTGGGAGCACGCCACATCCACCCTAATGGAATTGACCTTGTTAGCAGTGGCCCTCCGCATAACAATGTAACACACCCATCTTTGCATGTACATGTCTGCAAATGGAAGTTTTCACTCCATGCATCTGACCAAGTGGGTTCCAGCCCACAAAAGCTGATGCCCAAGTAAATGTATTCGTCTTTAAAGTGCTGCAAGACTCATTGTTTTTGCTGCCACAGACTAACACAGCCACCCCTCCGAAACAACACACCACGAAGCACTCCAACTTGGCCTGAGGCTTGGTTGCTAGCAAGCAAAAACCCTCTCCTGTTGTGTCATTTTCCAAGCTAATGCTTGTTACTATACAACAGCTGTCTTAGTAGCCAACAGCATGTGCAATTAGCCAGCATTTTCCACCCAATTCTTCATGCTCACATCACAGAAACACTTTTACTAGCAGCCTCAGACATTGTGCAGAGAATTGAAAAGGCCACAAAGACAATCGTCCCCCCAGCTCAAAACCCAGCTGAAAAAATATGTTTCAGTAACAATGTAGTCATGCCTCGAGCACCTCAACAAGGCTGCTGGTGGGAAGTGGAGAATATGCTCTGCAGAGCCACTAATCACATATACTTTCTTAGCATGTGGCTGTAAAATTAGTCTAGTCCTCTGATTACACTAATTTTCTATTTACAAGACTTGCCTAGAAACGGGTTGTGAATAGTAGCTCTTACCTCCCACAAGTCACCTCTCTGCCATGTAATTTCAATATAATTTCTGTGCAGAACAGCTCTCTTCATTAGCATTAAATTTCACACAGCAACTCAAGGCCTTGATCTTGTATGCTACTGCAGGTGGTTCTGCCTGCACAACTGGCAGGAGTGGGGCCAGCGAGCTGACTGCAGTACCCAAAGCAACCTCCCCAGCCCCCGCTTTGCAAAGCATGCTGTTTATGCCCGTTGAGGCGATGCACTTGGAGAGCAGGCTGTACCAACTGTGTCTCCTGCAACCGATCGGAGTCAGGGGCAGAAGCAAGTCAGAGTTTTTACCTTGACGTCTTCCCACAAGTCTTTCTCTTCTTTCAAGACTCGACTAGTGTGCAGCGGAGTCTGGGGCACCTGCATCGATTGCTTTCGAGGGGAGAGCAAGAGAGACAAAGGATGAGCCTCCAATAAAATTCACTGCTCTCCCTGCCAATGTTCCCTCTAATCTTTTCCATCTATATGCACATTTTTTCCGTCTATGTGCGGGAATAATTTTATGTGCACTGAGGCATGTGTGAATGTGCACCATCCATTGAAACAAAAAAACCTAGCTGTGGGGGCCCTTCTAATCAGATTGGCAGCATTTGAACCTCCCCTGAGCAGCTGCACAAGCGCCTCGCTTACAGGGAACACCGCTTACTGCTCCCTTCTATTTCTCAGATCGAGCAGCCGTCAGATTTCTAGCCATGTCTTGCCTCTGGAAACTTGCACACTTACCATGATCCAAGGATGGTTCATGAACTCCGTTATCGTCATGCGCTGGGTCGGGTCTGTCTTCAGCAGGTTCCGGATCAACTGCTTAACTGGAGAAAGGGGTGGGGAGGTGTTAAGAAAAAGCAGCACTGAGGATGAATATTCTCCCTGGTGGTATACCATGCCCAAACAACTACCAGAAGCTGTGCTATCTCTTTGGCCTTGTCTGTGCTAGGGACTTGCCTAGCCATTGGGGCTGTGACAGATTGACAGTATCTTGTAATGTCCTGGACAGGGGCAGATGACTGTTTTGCGGGGCCCCAGGCAGCGTAACTTTGCCACGGCGCATGCGCGGGGCTTTTTTAAGCGCGGGGCCCGGGGCGGCTGCCCCGTTCGCCCTGCCCTATATCCGCCCCTGGTCCTGGACACAATCTTAGGGAATTAAGATAAAAACTTATTAATTTAGGATTAATGCCTTCGGAGTCCATTGTTCTTAAAAACACGGAATTGTGTGTTTGTTAGCGTAGAACTGTATGCATCTTCCCTAGGAGGAGGGGATGCTAGAGTAACTCCTCTGGTTATCAGCCCTTTGACGTTACCTCATGAAGAGGTTCATGTGTATTAATTCAAATTGGATTCTCCAGGGACCGACCGACCGACCGACCGACCACACACACACACACACACCCCCCCCCCTCTGTTTGGATCAAAAGGCTTGTTTTAACCAGGCTCAGGGCCTTCCTCCTGACCTGGCACACAAACAAAGCCTCACAGAGGGCCCTAATCCTTAGTGAAGAGGAGGAACGATGAGGCCCACGGAGGCCCTGTCAAACCGTGTGCTTGCTCTGAGCTGAAGCTGTGGTGAACTCAAAGCCATGTGTTTGGGTTATTGAAGGACCAGCCCTACCAGCACCCACGTTTCAGCTGAGGCGAACTCTGCTATGCTTAACGGTAAGCGTGACGGGATGTTTGTTTTTCCCTGTAACATCGTCACCTCAGGAATAAAGCAGGCATGCATAAAAAGAGCTGTGCGGTATCTCTGAGGGTGGGCAGTCATGCCAGAGAGAAAGCAGGCAGGCGCACGAGGGCAGCCTGTCTCAGCTGGGAACACCACAAGGGCAGGGAACCACACCACTTGGAAATACCCTAGTCAGGAAGGAGTGAGATGCGGGGTCTCCCCACAAGAGAGGTGATGGCCTGGGGAGTTGGAAGCCATGGAAGGGGAACACGGGGGCAGCAGCCCTGAACTGTGGCAAGTGCCGGCCCATCATGCCCATAAGCAAAGCCTCTATTCAAATGGGAAATACGGAGCCCGTGTAAGTTACCACTTCACCTGTCTACACTAGGGGTTCATAGCGGGGTTTTCAAACTAGGGGTCACGATCTAGTACTGGGTCACGGAATGTCGGGCGCTGGGTCTCATTGCCGCAGGGGGACCAGTGGGGGGCTAAGGCAGCTCCCTGCCTGTCCTAGCACCGCAGACTGCACTGCGCCCCAGAAACGTCCTGCGGCACGTTGGGTGCGGGGAGGGAGCGTCCAGGGCTCCGTGCATTGCCCCTTCCCTGAGCACTAGCTCCGCACCCCCATTGGCTGGGAACCTGCTGCTGGCTGCTTCTGGGGGGCAGCATGGGCTGCGGTGCCAGGAGAGGGAGGAAGCTGCCTTAGCCCCCCTGCTGCATCCCTGACCGGGAGCCACTTAGGGTAAACCCCCCCTGCCCCAGCCCTGACCTCCCGCCAAAGCCGGATCCCCCCCCCCCCCCCACCTCCAACAGCAGAAAGTTCTGCTCCCTCAGCCCACCCCAGAGCCCACACTCTAGTCAAATTCTGTTGGGTCACAGGCACCAACGATTTTCTTCAACTAGATCATGAGAAAAAAAGTTTGAAAACCGCTGGTCTGCAGCTACCCTGCTGGCTGCCATAGGGCAAATCCCCACATTAAGCAAGGCCTTGTGCTACCACAGGAGATTGCAGACACACACTGGCTTGCCACTGGGCATGACAGCCACAAACCTGACACGCCCCAGGACTATTGGCATCATGGGTGCCTTGAGTACAGGAGACTGATTTTGTTTAAAAAAAAAAAAAAAAAGCAGTATGTTATGGTCGCAAGGACGCATATGCTCACAGCACAGATACCCTGCCTCTGCTTTTACCTTCTTCAGAGACTTCCGACCATTCAGGGTTGGGAAATTCATACTGGCCCATCCGGATCCGTTTTTTCATGCCTGGAGAAATGGCCAGACCGTGGTTGGAATAGAAAGGGGGATACCCACACAGCCTGAGTCAAAGAGAGAGAAAGTAATTAAGTGACCAGCAGAGGGCAAATCCTTTAGAGGGCGTTAGAAACTTACTCGACCAAAAAAAACACAGAGTCCTGTGGCACCTGACAAAGGCCAGGTCTACACTAGACCCAGACTGTTGGGTTAAGCTAAGCAACTCCAGCTAGGTAAAATACATAGCTGGAGTCAGCTTACCTTAAGCCAAGAGTGGCGCCGTCTTCATAGAGGGAAGCCAATGTAAGCAAACATTCCCCATCGGTTTCCCTTACTCCTCACAACTGCAAGAGTACTGGTGCCAACGGGAGCTGCCTTCAGCATTTGATTAAGCGGGTCTTAACTAGACCTGTTAAATCAAACACCGGATGATCAATCGCCGACGTGGCAATAGGAGACATGGCCTAAGTGGACTCCAGCCCAAGAAGGCTTATGCCCACGTGTTTTTGCTGAAACAGATTTACTAGACCACGTTTCCTTGCTCGTATCAAAGTGGGGTCAGTGCTGATAGCTTGCCTAACAGCATCTTTGGAGAATAAAAGTGAGTTATCCCCATCTCTATGGGAATGATATGCAGGGCTGCAAAGGATCCCACAGGTGACATCAGTCCCCATAGCATGGTGGAGGCACGGAACAGGAGGGGCAGGAGGAAAGTCAGAGCAGGAGTGGACGCCAGGAAGGGAGAGGCACGTAAGGGAGTCTCTTTCTTAACTGAGATTGTTTAAGAAAGGGGACACTTTAGGCCTATAACAGGAGAAACTCCCAGTAGAGATTAGTCTCTGAATAGCTCTCTAAGGGAAGAGCAAGAACGCCCTTGCTTTGCAAACAGGCCACACCAAGCACTAGACAGACACTGCACTGCAGTGGTCCCACTAAGCTGCGGGGCAGCCCAGCTTCACAGGTGAGTCATCAGCCCCACCCAGTCAGAGGCTCAGGGCGGCACTGATCAATCACCCATGAAGCAGGGCTGCCGCACAGCTTAGAGGGACCACTGCTGCACCGGGGAAGAATCCTGCACTGGTTTGGACTACAGAGACTAGATTTGTAAAGGTCTTCCATGGTCGCAGGCTTGTCAGAAGCGCCTAACTTCCACTAGGTGCCCTGGGAATTAGATGCTCTCTCTTGGTGCCCCAACACCTGTCAAAATCTGCCCCTGAAAGTCCGTCTACACAGCAGCTTGGCACAGCTCATGACTCAGGTTCGGGCTATGGGACTGCAAAGCTGCTGAGGAGACGTTCAGGTTCAGGCTGGAATCTAAGCTCTGGGACCTCAGCATAGGAACCCCGCCCACGCTTGAGCCCAAACAGCAATTGACAGCCCCACGGCCTGAGCCGGCTGTCCCTGGGCAGCCGCAGCCCTGCCAGTGTTCTTGTATTCCCATGAAGACAGGTCCTATGTGACGCAATAGGTTTGCCCCCATCTTCAATGCCATTCGGCCTGGGTAGACACGGGTATGTCGGCACACACTTAGCAGCCATGCGGGGCTCATGGGGAGCCAGCCCAGGCTGGCGTCTTTCTGCAGCCGAGGGGGAGGAAGTCAGATGCTCACAAATGCACCTAGGGCAGCCTTCCCAGCATGCCGCTTGGCCAAGCACAGGGAAAGGGCCGTTGCCTGCGTCACCCAGAGTCCGCCCAGCCAGGCAGTGTGTGGACAGATCCTGGGAGGGTGGAAGCTGCAGTTCCCTTGGGTTAGGCACGAGCAACGCTCAGCAGGGTGGGGCTGGGACATGGCTTTACTCACAGAATGTACATGATGACGCCCAGGGACCACATGTCACAGGACTTGTCGTATTTCTCCGGGCCCAGCACCTCTGGGGCTGGGAAAGAAAGGAAGAGAGACATTCACCAGGCAGGCAGAGATTTGTCAGGAGGCTACACAGGAGGGAGGAGCAATGAGGCAGGCCAAGTTTGATGACCCTTTTATCCCAATCCTGAGGCTCCTGGCAGTAGACTCAGCTTAGCACAGTTGGTGGGGAGCTCCCGAGAGGCCCCCCCTCCTGGAGAGGACTGAATTATACAGGTCCCTTAGCCATGCTCTGCGGGGGAGAGCCAGGGCTAAACTTGCCAGGGTGCTACCCATCAGGCCAGAGCTGTGCGTGGCAAGTGCCAGGAAAAGTATTGTGTGCCAACACTGTGAATTATTCAGCCGATGGCCTGAGCTGTGCTTGGCGCACTGCAGGAAGAGGAGAAGCCGGGGCAACCTGCCCTGCTTCCCACACCTGGCACAGCACTTGGAACAGCATTTACAATACGCTAGGGATGTTAAAAATTATTTCATACGGTGACCGGGTAACCGCTGAAAATCTCAACAGTTACCCGTGCTGCAGGCTGCTGGGCAGTGGGGCTGCCAGCCCCTGCCCACCTGGTTCCTGGGGAGGTGTCTTTGCTGCCTTGCCACAGTGAAACTGCCTTTCTAGGAGCCTGCTGAGTTTAACCAATACCATTAACGGAGAAGCATCAACTTCATCGGTTAAACAGTCGATCAGTTAACCGCTAACCTCCCTACAATGCACCCGGCTGTCAGCTGTTACCAGCAGCTCCTGAGTAGGCACCGCAGGGGAACACATCCCCAGAGCAGCCCCCTGGGCTGCCGGGCAGAGGAGTCTGGATTTTAACACAACAGCAAGGATGGAAGCCTGCCCTGAAACCTGAGATCCAAACATCCCAAAGCACGGGAAATGTTGGGGTCCATGTTCTGCTTCTCAGGCCCAACCCTACACCCTGCCACAGTTGTAGTTCACACTGTAATTATAGGTCCGGTGCAGAAATGACTAACATTCTCTGGGTGGTGTTCCATCCAGGAGGCCAGAGGAAAGAATCACAGTGGTCCCTTCTGGCCTTGCAGTCTATGAATTCTGGCCTTTTCTGTGGCAAGCACGGGAGATTCTGGATGCCTGTGCTCCCATTCCCCGGAAGGGGACAAGGCATCGCAGCTTCCCCAAAGACTTACCCACATAGTATGGCGTGTAGCACGGCGTGGCCAGAGAGTTGTGTGTGGTGGTTTCTTTAGCAAAGCCAAAGTCGGTGAGTTTCAGCACTGCGTTGGGCCTTTTGGAAGTGTACAAGAGGTTTTCAGGCTATGGAAACACAATGAATAAAAAGCAAACTAAGTGTGGCTAAGTCCTTGGGGCTCCTACCTCTTGCACAGCGGAGGGGCAGCATTAGGACAGCGCTGCCATGTGAGAGTCAAGGAAGATTGGACCATGACCAATGGGAGCCAAGTGGTTCTAAGTGAACCCAAGAGGACCCCATATAACCCATTGCAGCTCAACTTTTGGCACCCCGAGTTTTCTCTTTCCCCCAGGCAACCTGATTTGTAACAGCTGAAATGCACCAGACATCAATGTTCTAATCTTTTCCATCCAAGTGCAGAATAAATTTGTGTGCGCACCAAGGCATATGTGAATGTGCACCACCAGCAGAAACCACCCCCTAGCTGGGGGTGCTCCATGATGCAGCTGGCTGGCATTTGAATTTCTCCTAAGCAGCTACACAAGCACGTAACTTACAGGGAGCACTGCCAGAGATCCCAGAAACATCCCTCATCCCCCATCGCTTCCCCACCCCCCCTCCGAGCCTTCCAGATCCAAGGTAGGCCAGGAGCACAAGGTGAGAAAGGCAAGGTTAGTGGGATTTTCAGGCTAGTCCGGTAACCAGCACATTCAGCTTCTGAGATTTATTACAAGCCAGCAAGCAAGACCTGGGATATTCCCTATTCTCCTATGCCAAGTGATACAGAAGAGCTAGCAGGAGGAGCGTGGACACTGGTGGTGCAGCGTTGTATAATCATTAGGGAAGGGCAAGTCTCACAAGCTCTTCCTGTGCCCATCCCTGGCCCCAGGGGCTTGGTGCTATTCAGGCAACATGCGCTGATTTTCCCCAACACAATTTCAGATCTTCAGTCTTCATGCTTTCCTTGGCAGCTCTCCCTCCACCCCTCCCACACCATAATCTCCTCAACCAGGAAATTGCATCTTTTGGGGAACAGCATGCACCTTTGCAGCTTGTAAATCCGTCACCCACTAGAGGTGTTCAGCCGCAGTTTCCTGTGGCAAATGCAATCTAAGTGACTCTCTTCTGCCTCCACAAAATTCCCCCTGTGGATTCACACAACGGTGTTGTGTGATTGGGAAACTGCTGCTGAGGGGCGCCTGTGCTTCCGAGGTGGATGGGGTGGGGCAGAAGAGGGGGTTTCTTTCTGAACATTACCTGCCCGCCACACCCCAGGACACAAAGCTCTTCGGGATGACAGATACTACATGAAATTACAAGACCATTGGAGCAAGGAAGTCTGGCCTGCTTACAAGTGAATTCCAAACACCACAGAACTTAAAAATCCCTCTTCCCTTGCAGAGGGGAAATGCCATTTTTGCAAGAACTCATTGTTTCAATACACATCTTCCTGCAGGGCAGGGCAGGGCAAATTGTAAGAGCTAGGTCCACACACCAGAGAACAGGGGACTCCAACAAGTTACCCCCTTCCTCCTACGCCAAACCAGATACCGCCTCATGGTCTCTATGATTAGGCCTTAACTGGAGTATTGTGTCCATTTCTGGGTGCTACGTTTCAGGAAAGATGTAGATAAATTGGAGATGGTCCAGAGAAGAGGGACAAAAAGGTCTAGAAAAACATGAGCTATGAAGGAAGACTGAAAGAACTGGGTTTGTTTAGTCTGGAAAAGAGAAGATTGAGAGGGGACATAAGAGTTTTCAAGTATCTAAAAGGTTGTTTACCAGGAAAAAGGAGAAAAACTGTTCTCCATGGCCTTTGAGGATAGGCCAAGCAGCAATGGGCTTAAGTTGCAGCAAGGTTGGACATTAGGAAAAACTTCCTAACTGTCAGGGTGGTTAAACACCAGAATAAATTGCCTAGGGAGGTTGTGGAATCTCCATCACTGGAGATATTTAAGAGCAGATTAGAGAGACATCTGTCAGGGGTGCTCTAGACGGAGCTTGGTCCTGCCGTGAGGGCAGGGGACTGGACATGATGATCTCTCGAGGTCCCTTCTGGTTCTAGTGGGCTATGATCATGGGTTCTCACTGACCTCTGCAGTATCCTGAAATTGATCCCCAAAGAGAGAAGGAGTGGGCATTTCCCAGCTGGCCTCTGCTTTAATGGAGGTCGTTCTCACAGACATGCCCAGAGAGATGGTGCCCAAACTACAGGCCGGTGGTCCAAACACCCGCACCCTGAAAGAGTCCAGCTCCTGATCGGAAGTGCCACGTTCCCATACGAGTGTGCGGAAGGATCCGACAGGAGCTATGAGCTACTCTGCTCTTCCACCCCACCTCGCAATTCTGCTGCCTTTAAAATAAATGCAAGTTACCTGAGGCCTGTTAACCCCAGTGAGCCTCTTAAATGCAAGCTAGGGAGCAGCTGCAGCACTCATCTGGATTGTACAATGTTATGTGGGCCAGAATGCTGGGGGTCTTGCTAGGTCTTTGCCTCCACGAAAGGGGCAAAAGGCCCTGAAAACATGCTCTAGCATCTGCTAGGCAGGCAGGCAAGCCATACCTTAACGTCCCGGTGGGCTATGTTAATCGAATGCAAGTACTGGATGGCTTCTCCGATGCTCTTCATGATCTCTGAAGCCTCTAGAGGAGTTAAAAAAACATAAAAGCATTTACAGCTCAGCAACTCAAAGGAAAGCGCCCCCCGGCCTCCCAATGTGTCACATAGAAACCCTCTGAGAGGCAGAAGGCAAAGAACCTCTCATGCGTAGAGCCTCCTTTTCCGAGCAGGGCTCTTCCCATGGAGCACCCTTGAAGTGAGAAGACCCACAAACAACCACTCCCAATCAGGGGGATTTGAGGGTGCGCCCGTCACTCTCTTTGACCCTTTCTTGTTTAGTAGTCGGAGTCTCATTACAGCAAACGGAGGCCACTGCCTGCCACTTTGGGACATAGAGGAGACCGAGAACTAGACAGTCAGCAGCTCGGTTCTCACCACGTGGCTGGAGAGTGCACAAATTGGAGATTCAGGCGGGGTGAGAGCTGTCTGGGAAACAATATTGCCTCCTTCCCAAGGAAAAAATTCAATGGAGATTGATTTTTTTTTTCTTTCCTTACAGCAAACGGAGGCCACTGCCTGCCACTTTGGGACATAGAGGAGACCGAGAACTAGACAGTCAGCAGCTCGGTTCTCACCACGTGGCTGGAGAGTGCACAAATTGGAGATTCAGGCGGGGTGAGAGCTGTCTGGGAAACAATATTGCCTCCTTCCCAAGGAAAAAATTCAATGGAGATTGATTTTTTTTTTCTTTCCAACATTTTTCCTGGGGGGGGGGGGGGAAAATTGCACACAATATTTTAGTCCATCTCTATAAGAAGATGAAACCATTTTACAGACCACCCCTCATTTGCCGTGCCATGAAGTGGGGGCCAACGTTCCAACCAGCTCTAAGAGAAGGTGTTTTCCCTCAACCACCACCAACATAAAACAGCCACGGGGTTAAAAAAGCCACCGGTCCATGCCATACCCCGTTCCGTGAAGGCCTGGTCTCCCCTGTCTTGAATTCGACTGAAGAGCTCCCCACCGTCCAAGCTGGAAGACAGAAACACAAAGAGTTCAAGATTTGGCCGTGACTTCCCCATCTCACTGGGCCTCTCCGATGGGCCTTCAAGAGCTGAACTGACTATTCCAAGCCAAGCGCTGCCAGAGGTCACCAAGGGAGAAGCTCCAATACACACTGCTTGGAGATCTCGCAATATTTCTGTTTCCAAGTTCAGGGAGATTAGCTTCCCAACTTCTTCCCAGCCCTGACAAAGATTGAAACGCCGCAAGGAGCTTGGGGCCAGAGGGGAGTCCCCCGCTGACCCTGGGCTCTGTGCGGGCGCTTCCGCTTTGAAATGTACAAGGGCCGCAGCAGGGACTCTTGTACATTTCAAAGTTGGAACGCTGCTGCTGCGCCCCTGCCTCCTCCCACAGAGTTAGACGGGGGGGGGAACCGCTTTTAAGCCAGCTCCCCCCAACATCCCCTCCTCTTCCACACCCCCTTGGCTTCCTCATTCTGATAGAGGCAGCAAGAGGAGGGGAAGCTACTAGTGGACTCGTGTCGACTGTCCGATAAGCTTTTGCTTATCGAATAGTCGATTAGTCAATTAGTCGCTTACATCCTTACTACCAACCCCCTTCCTCCCCACCTCAACTTTGCCCCTTTTGCATGCCTGCACTTCCGAGCCTCTGTCCCCTCTCCAGAAAGCAGCCAAGCATGATGACAGCGGCTGTGGCTTTCCTGGCCACAAGAGAACAACCATACCGAGGCACCTCGACGATAACAAGAGCAGATTGTGCTACAAAGAGTTCCCAGTCTCGCTGGCCTACTTTTCAGCAAGTAACCACACAAAGGCGGCACTCGGCTGACACTTCCACTGAGCGGGCGAGCTGAGCTCCTATGCCGGGCAGTCACCTGACATGCCGGGTGTTCAGCTGACTTACCGAGCACCAGGGCCAACGAGACAAAGCACAGCAGCACCCCAGTGCTCAAAGGGGCCCTGCCCCAAGCTGCTCCATTGATTTCGCAGACCTAACCTCTCAGACTGGGGGCAGGGTTGGTCTTTCCCAGGAGAGTTTTGGGTTTTGAAGCCACTCATCCGAATTAAGCCGCGTGCACGACGCAGTTCAAACATCTGGTGACAGAGCTCACTTCTGCATTCTTCACACAGACAGACGGAGGCCAAGGACGGATAGTCTTGGGGTTCAAAGGCTGGCTGAGGACTCAGGAGATCTGGGGTCAGGTCCCAGCTCGATCAGACTCCTGGTGTGACTTTCAGTTATGGGAAACGTTTCCTCTCTCTGTCTTGTCTATTGCAATTGCAAGCTCTTTGGGGCGATGTTCCCGCTTATTTTATCCATCCATATGCAGAATAAATGTTGTGATGTGCGGATGTGCACCACACATGCCCCTGGCTGTGGGCACTCTGCCAATCAGCTGGGCAGTATTTGACTCTCTCCTGTGTGGCCGCCAGAGTGCTCAGCTTACAGGGAACTCTGGCAGGGACTGGCTCGTTGGGTGTCCCTCACCTGTTTGCCATAAGCTGGGAATGAGTGACAGGGGGTGGATCACATGGGGATTCCATTCTGTTCAGTCCCTCTGGGGCACTCGGCATTGGCCCATCAGAAGTCAGGACGCTGGGCTAGATGGACCTTTGCTCTGGTATGGCCGTTCTTACGACTGGCACAATGGGGCCCAAATCTCAGCATTGCCACAAAACAAACACCACACCCAGGGCCCAGCTGCATGACAGAGGGCACAGAGAAGGGGAGAGAATCTGTGTTCATGCTAAGAGCTTCCTAGTCACAAATGCCAGGATCGGAGCAAAGACATTAGCAGACCTGAGCCACTGGGATGAATGAGACACTGCCACAGAGTCTGTTCCCTCTTTGGTTACTTTGATCCTGGCAGTATCGAAGGGTATCCCAGTCTGTCATGCTCAAGCTAGCTTGAAAATAGCCAGTGGCTATTACAGCAGTGCTTCAACTGGTATCACACGCCCATTTGGCAGCGTGCAACCAGCTTCCTATCGTTCAGAGGTTGCCGTCTCCCCGTACGTACGAGGAGCTGCTCAAACCTCCTCCACCTGCAGACGCCCGGGATCTCAGCACGAGTGTCGGAAGCCTCTTCCCACACATAGAACTGAGAAGGCTCTTCCACAACAGGTCGGCAGCCTAACCTTTTCGAACACTGAGTGGCTCCCCCTCCCCTACCTGACAACACGTTGGCCTCTGCCAGAGGAGAGGTTTTGGCAAGGAAGCTGCATTGAAAAATCACAACTGCGGTTGGGATGTGGTTTCGATACTTTCCCCTTCATTCCTCCCTCCTCTTATCAAACCTCTGAGAGCCGCCAACTCGCTCAGACACTGCTGTGAAAACGAGCCTGCCACTCGCCTGCTCCGTGCTGGTGGCAGACACCTGGCATGACTGCCACTGCTGCCCAGCCACCAGCTCAGCCCTGCACATCCCAAAGCGGCCAGCACTTTATTAAAGGCAAAAGCAGGTCTGGGGATAAAGGACTCTTCGCTTGTGAGGAGTTCTGTTTATAACCTGGACAAAGACCCACAAGCCATAAGCCAGCTTGCAAATGTTTCGGTTTTCCCATGCACTGGAGATTGATCTTCTGGCATTTGATTTAGTGGGTCTAGTAAAGACCCACTAAATCGAATGCTGAAGGCACCCTCAGTTGGCACCAGTACTCCTCGCAGTCGCAAGGGAAGCCGATGGGAGTGTTGCTCCCATCAACCTCTGCTGTGGAAAAGGGACCAAGCTCAGCTTAAGGTAAGTCGACTCCAGCTTCGTTCTTCACTTAGATGGAGTTGCGGACCTTAAGCTGACCCTCTGGGTCTAGCATAGGCCTAACCTGACTCAGCAGCCAGCAGCTCACACTCTGGCCCCCGTTCTGGGTTCTGTGAGTGGGTAACTGGTTAATGGGTGATGCTTACCAAGTGAGCCAGTACCTGGGAGCAGCCCCCTATCTGTGGCCCTCCTTGGGGAGACAGCTGCTCCAGCACTGCTGGATTCCCCCACAGGGCTGACGGTTCCCAGCCTGCTTGGGGTAGGAGCCAGCAGTCCCACCTAGAGTTGGAAGCAGCCAAGCTGGAGCAGCTCGCCCCTGCCTGTGGCGAGGGGGATGCTCCAAGCTCCCCCCCGCCAACCCTCCTTCAATGGGTCAGACAGTTAAACACTACATTTAACTGATTAACCAATTAAACAAGAAATCTGGCCCTTGCATGCCATGCTGCTCCATTTCTCTATGGTTTTGTTTCATCCTGGGCACAGATGGACATTCCCCCCTGCCCACACCTGTCATCCCAAGAGCATCCCGCTGCACACTGAGCTTACAACACAAACAGCCCCTTCCACCTCGTACCCAACAATTCTCCAGGACCATCACAAAAAAGGCACTGTGCCTTCCTATAGCAAATGCTGCTTCAGTCCATTCTACAAACTTTCATGAATATTTTCATCCCATGCGGTGAAAAGGTATAAAAGTCTCCATATTACAGATGAGGAAACTGAGGCCCGAGAAGTAAAATGACTGGCATAGAACTATCCGGGATGTCAGAACCCAGGCCTGGCCCTCAGCCATGTACTCACACCAAGTTGCTTTCAAAACAGTTGAATTAACAGGTTGGCAAGGTCGGAGGTAAATCCTGTCAATCCAGAGGACACAGCTTTTGCAAAAGACACGTGGCCCAGCTTTCTGTTACTAATATTCAGGAAGTGTTGGTGGCCAATCATTTCCATGCTCAGAACACACAAGTTATGAGTAGGGCATGACCAAATTCACGGTCCATTTTGGTCAATTTTGCAGTCATAGATTTTTAAAATGGTAAATTTAATGATTTCATATATTTAAATCTGGAGTTGTGCGGTGCTCACAAGGCTATTGCAGGGAGATTGCAGTATGGTTCTCTTTACTTCTCAGCAGCTACTGGCAGGGTGCTGCCTTCAGAGCTGGGGAATGGGAGAGTGGCAGCTGCTGACCAGAAGCCCAGCTCTGAAGGCAGAGTTACCGCCAGCAGCAGCACAGAAGTAAGGGTGGCCTGGTACGGTATTGCCATCCTTACTTTTGCACTGCCGCCAGCAGACTTGGACTGGTAGGTAGCAGCTGCCACTTTCTGGCCACTCTGAAAGCAGCTGTACTGAAGTAAAGGCGACAGGAGGATGATATTGCCACCCTTACCTCTGCACTGCTGCTGGCAGGGCGCTGCCTTCAGAGCTGGGTGTCCAGCCCACATTCCAGCCTCCACCCTCCAGCTGGCCAGCTCTGAAGGCAGCGCGGAAATAAAAGTGCCAATACTGTGACTCTCTTAAAATAACCCTGTGATCCCCCTTCAATTCCCTTGTGTGTCAGGAGCCCCGATTTGAGAAATGCTGCTCTACCCCATGAAATCTGTAGCGGATAGGGTAAAAGCACACAAGGCCAGATTTCACAGAAAGGTGCCAGATTTCCCGGTCCGTGACGTGTTTTGAATGGCTGTGAATTTGGTAGGGCCCTAGTTATGAAGCTTGGACAGCAGCTCTTTCTAGACAATCTCTAACATCCTAAGATTTCCCAAGGGTTTTCCATGGGGTGCAGACTCTAGAGCAGGGGTGCCCAAACTTTTTTCAAAGAGGGCCAGATTTGATGAAGTGAACATGAGTGAGGGCCAACCATTTTGCCTGACATTCTTTGAACCATTAAAATTAAATGCAAATTAACTATTTTATGCAAAGTTTATTGCAAACGGCATACTTTTCATTTCGTCACATGGATGACAAATCTAAACAGGTGTTAAATCATTCTGCCTTTCATATCTGAAGGCCAGATGAAAAAAAAATCCAGGAAGCTGAAATATATGTCAGGAACATTGTAAAGTACATTACATATTATTGGTAATAAACGTTGTCTGTCAACTTTTAAGTTAAAAAAATATGAACAGGAACATAACACCAAGTATACATGTTGTGTCCAAATATATTTATAACTGACTTAGACCAACTGACATTAACTGAGATTTTACAATGTATTCATCTCAATACATATGGATTCGTTGGGGGCCATAAAAGATAGATATTGCCAAATTACCCGTGGGGCCGTATTAAACCAGAACACGGGCCGCAATTGGCCCGCGGGCCGGACTTTGGACATGCCTGCTCTAGAGCATCGGCCTCTCCTGAGAGTCATGCGGGAGGAGGGATTTAGGTTGTTTCTCCTCGGGCACAACACTTACCATTCCATGACTATAAGGAGGCACTTCCTCCCCTGGTACAGGTTTTCGTAGACGTCTATGATCTTGACAATGTGGGCGCACTGAGATGCCCTCCAGTGGAGTTCGACTTCCCTGCGGGCTTTGGGGCAGTCCTGCAGCATCTAAAAAAAATTTTAAAAAAAGAAGGAAAATTCAGTCTTTTCTCTCCCGGGCAGCAAAATTTCCAGAATCACAAAATCAGCGAGGGGCAGCCAAGGCTAGCAAGCGGGTCACAGGAGTGGGGTGCAAAACTGTCATAACCAAGATGCTCTCCTGGGATAGAGCAGTGTTGCTCACTGAGCCCGTGTACCTACAATTTGCAGGATGTGCTGACTGAACTGTGGCAGCGTGTTGATAGGCTGCAGAGGGAGCACACGGCTCTCACAGTCAAAGCTGTGTGCAATCAGCGCCCACCCCCCTTCATGTGCCCTGGCTTTACATACCGTGTCACATTAGTAACAGTGGCCATAAAAAAATGACACAGACAGAAACCAGCATCATCTGCCAATGTTAAACAAAACGTCTCGTGGACTACCTATAGAACCCCGATGGGCTGTAGGTTGCCCACCACTGTCCGATGTGCTTTAACAAAAGGTTCTGAATTCAAAAGGCCAGAGATGATGCCGTCCATGATACTCCACTAATAAGCTTTCATGTGATCCTCCTTCGACCTCCACAGATAGAACAACTAGAGGCATGACGGTCAAAGTAATAGACACTGATGTATTTGCATGCATTATAGGTCAGTATTTGGAAACCAACACGAACTAAATCTAGCCTGACCAGACGCGCCATCTAGTGGCGGATACATGCAATTCCAACCATTTGGTTCCTAGCCAAAGCAAAACAAAGCAAGGGCTATTAGCCATGTGCAGTTGTGTCAACAGCATTTATTCCTGCTTGAATGTAACTTGGGAAAACAAGCGCCCTTAAATTAATATAATTTGCAAGAAAAGGTCACATGTGTCTGTAATAGCAGCAGGAGGCCTGCACTTAGTACATCTTTAGATCAACAAGGAAATAACGTCTACAGCAGCAAAACTCTCCAGGGAAAGCCAGACCCTGCCTTCAGGGTTATTTTGTTTTTATTTGGAATAGACACTGCAGCAGTTCACACCTAGAGTAAAGGACAGTGTTACCGTGGTACGTTCTGCTTTCTCTCCTGACACTTTAAACCTAAGTCAGGGCCAGAAGTCATAGAATCATAGAGCTGGAAGATACCTCAGGAGGTCATTAAGTCCAGCCCCCTGCCCAAGGCAGGACCAACCCCAACTCACTCAACCCAGCCAGGGCTTTGTCAAGCCGAGACTTAAAAACCTCTAGGGATGGAGATTCCACCACCTCCCTAGGTAACCCATTCCAGTGCTCCCCCACCCTCCTAGGGAAATAGTTTTTCCTAATATCCAACCTAGACCTCTCCCACGTCTCAGCCCACTCCTAGACCACATCACAGTCTGGATGCAATGCTCTGGGGTCCTGGATACAGGAAGGCCTTGGTACTCAGAGATTTGCATATTCGCTGTGCGCAACGCCATATATGCAGATGCTTTTTCGGTGTGCTCTAACCAAACCATTACCAGTCACTAAACAGCAGTGTCAGAGAAGTAGCCGTGTTAGTCTGAATCTGCAAGAACAACGAGAAGTCCTGTGTCACCTTATAGACTAACAGATTTATTGGAGCATAAGCTTTTGTGGGCAAAGATCCACTTCGTCAGATGCATGGATGTGGAAATTCCAGAGGCAGGTATAAATATACAGGTATAAGAAAAGAGTTCCAATCAAGAGTAAAGCTGGAGATAGCAAGGTCAATTCAGCCAGAGAGAATAGGGCCAACTTCTAGCAGCTGATGTGGAGGTGTGAACACCAAAAGAGGAGAAACTGCTTTTGTAGTTGGCTAGCCATTCACAGTCTTTGTTTAATCCTAAAATGATAGTATCAAATCTGCAGTTTCTCTTGGAAGTCTGTTTTTAGGTATATTTATACCTGCCTCTGGAATTTCCACTACATGCTTCTGACGAAGTGGGTCTTTGCCCACGAAAGCTTATGCTCCAATACATCTGTTAGTTTATAAGATGCCACAGGACTTCTTGTTGTTCTGCAGTAGTATTTCAGTGCTGGCACACACGCTTAGTGATGGCACCCCAAAGAAAAGCGAGTGATGAAGATAGTGGGCAAGAGGATGAAATGCTTGCGTATGATCCCACGATGGAAAAGAGCTAGAAAGTTAAAAGGCCAATTGAAGCTACGATGATGCTGCACTGGGACATTTTTAAGGGGTTCAAGAAAAATTCTAAAACGCTTCCCATCACAATGTTCCTTTGCGAACCCACCCATTAACCCTCCCTGCTTTGGCCACCACCACTGCTGATTAGACAACATACACGTAACTCCCCCCTCCTCCCATTGCAGGCAGGGGCTGCTGGCTCCCAACCCCAAGCAGACTGAGAGCCAGCAGCCCCAACCGTTACCCGGTGAGGTAACCGGTTACCCATCCACAACCCTACTCGATACATATGACTGATGGGCCATTGGATGCCAATCCTGCTCTGCACCCACTGTGTGAAAGGAGTCCAGCAGAGAGCAGCTGGTTGTATTCCCTGGCAGACAGCACCATCTAGTGGCAACATGCGGCTGCATAAAAATACTTGCCACTCCATTTAGAACCGCAGTGCACACAAGCACCGGCAGAGATGTTCATCCCATCCACTCCCAGCTGCGTGTGTGTCCCACTGGCTGAAGGAATCAATCTACATTACAAACAGCTGCAAAACCCTACCGACTCGTTTGAATTGCGCTTTGCCTTTCCTCTCAGGAGCTCACAGAGCCCTACATGCCAGCATGGGCTAGCGCCTCACTACGCCCTGTTGAGGGATGCCAGGATCAACGTCCTCTCTCGCATGGGGAAACTGAGGCACAGACCAGGAAAGTGATTTTTCCCAAGATAGCACAGTGGGTTAGTGATACGTAGGTTCAAACTTCTAACCTCATGAAACAGGTTTATCTGCTGGACTTGAAATAAGAGTGATATTACCGACAAATCAACAGTCAACACCAGTCAATAGACACCGAATCCATCAGCTACACCCTTAAACACCTGAAGGGTGCAAGGGAAGGACAGAGGGGAGTATTACCACCCAAACTTGAAAGATCGTCACAAATGAGTCCATTTAGGATTTTGCTGAGTTGCATGAGTCTGGTTTCCTTAATTACATCAATGTACCCAGTAATTGCTCTGATTAAAATAGCTTTTGGGAGCACATTAACTAACTTCCTCATCCAATTACTGTTATTGGAGCACTGGCTAGTAAACGACATTGACTAGATGCTTCCCTCTGTGCACTTATGAGGCTGGACCTAAAGTGGTGGAGGGGGTGCGGACTGTGCTTTTGGTACATAGGGAACTGGGCTGGCATCCCTGAAGTCAAAGGCAAAATGCTCCCATCAGTTCACTGGTAGAAGCATCCAGCCACTATATAATTAGAACTAGTTATCAACAGCAAGAAATGCTTGTGGGGATTAGGAATGTGAAAAAGGTTTTACAATATTAACCTTGTAACCGATGGAAATTCCATTAATGAAATGGGCTCAGTTGGGTTTGGGGGGGGGGGGCCACTGCAGGCTCTGGGATGTGGGAATCCAATCACCATCAGCCCCACAGACTCCGGCCTGCCCCACCTGCACTCCCCAGCAGAGTTTACACGGTAGCAGGAGCGGATCAGAATCAGCTTATCGTTTACCCGTTTAAACTCTTAAATCCCTCGTGGGGATTTAATTATTTCATGGATTTTTCAAAGTTTCAAAAAGATGGCCAGGAAATCCTTTGATCGTTGAAAAATGTAGCGCTCTGGCGTTGGAAAAAAACCCAACACGCACACATACTCCAGCGAAAGTTACAGATCAGCATTTTCCAAGGGGTTTTGGTTTAGTCTAAAATTACATTTTCAATGGGAAAAATTACACCAAAAAGTTGCAAGATTTGGAAAAGGTTGCCCAGAAAGTGTAAGAAAAGCCAAGTTCTTTGCTTGTACATCACTGTCTGGGAAAAGCACCATGGTGCAGATCCTCAAAGATATGTAGGCGCCTGACTCCTACAGAGTCTTGGAGGATCTGCGCCTACACAGCCAGGTTAATCATGCTTTTAAAAAAACAAGCTTCTTTACCTGCCGAACTAGCATCACCTCAGATTATTAGCAGAGTGGGGCGTAAACCTGAGCTGGCCCTGAGCTGTTATGCCCATTCCCTACTATGTTCTCACAGCTAAAAGGGAGGTAGCATGCTTCACTGCACTGGAAGGCAGGCAACATGTGGACCCAGCTGCCATGAAACCTTGGGACCCCTTTGAGAGCTGCAGAAGTCAAGTACATTCACCAAGTGGAAACGGTCAACGCCTGGGCTTTATGGTTGCAAATGCTGCCAAAGAACTGCAGGAAGAATTAAAAGTTTGGGAAGGGTGGGGAAGGAGTTTGATTTTAATTTTCTGAAACAATTTTCTACTGGAAATGTTAACAGATGGGAAGTTTGGTGAGGAGGGTCATTGAGCTGCTGTGAAGCCCTTTAGAAGTTGTTTTGCCAGATGTGGAACATAAAAAATCCACAACTCAGAGTCCTGGGATACCCCCACTGGGGACCCTCGATGCATCAAACATACAGAACGAATGCTTTTAAAACAACAAACTAACACGGCTACCCCCTGAGAATTAATGCTGGTTGGGGAACAGCACAACATGATCTCACGTCAAAGTCAACACAGAAAGCCTATTAGTAACTATCCCCTTGAGATAACACACCCATCCCATGCACAAGGAAGACAAAATAAATAAGCAGCCTTCGCTCTAAATAGTACGATTCCCAGCTTTTCCCACAGGAGTCAACAGCTCTTTAAGGAATCCCCTGACTTCCACAAAGGCTGCTCCCAGCTCTCAGGTACAGGAAGGATTTGCTAGTCTGCCAGAGTCTATTAATTACCATGTTTGTCAGCATAAACAAACAGCCTTAATTATATGCAGCAGACGCCTAAATACAAGGCAACAAATGTGTCTCACATAAAGCCACATGCCCTCCCCTGCCCGCCTCCAGCAAGTATTTCAAGGCTTATTGTTGCATGCATGCTGTTAAGTAGACTGAATTTTGTTCTC